CGTAGGTACCCCCGACCCCCCCCCCCCCCCACCAAAAAAAAAAACCTCTTAATCCATACCGACAAGCCACATTTCCATTACATCTTCTACTCATAATAAAATTCCAGGCTCTTTTTTGTTGTCTTCCTAGCGTGATGATGTTTGGGTTGCTGGTTGGTTTTGATTCCCCCTGGCCCCACTAGTTTCTTTTTTTTTATGCTTATTCTCTAGGTCTTAGAAGATAACATTAAGTAATCTATGAAGTCGGAGCCTCTTGTATTGCCTCTTTTAATTTTGTGTCATGTTGATGATATGTGATTCTATCAATAAAAAAGTGTGTATCCGAGGAGATTTATTTTCTGGAGAAATTATTTTCATCAAAAAGTTTAATCTTCTCCTTCATTTGTCTCTACACACAGGTACAAATACATGGGACAGATTCGAGCTACGTGTCCACAAGCGAGTCATTGACCTTTTCAGCTCTGCAGATGTTGTGAAACAAATCACCTCAATCACCATTGAACCTGGTGTTGAGGTTGAGGTCACTATTGCTGATTCTTAGATCCTTTGTCTTACCTAGGTAGATGAGTTACTCTTTATATGCTGTGGTATTTTTCCCTCCAGACTTATGTATTACGAGTGTTTTGGAATTACAATTTTGCTGTTAAACTAAGACGTTTGATAAAAGCAAAGTGTATGGATTGTTTATTCAGTACTAGCAAGTCTATTGAATTTCCTACACTAGATTACTTCAAAAGAGGTGATTATGACCTTTGCTTGTTTCATAATAAGACCTTAAAACTTTAGCATGAGAGTACAAAACCGTTACATTTGAGGTGCAGTTTCAAAATAACTTAGATGCCCAAATTTGTGTTATTTTGCAAATGGGACTATAATTTTATTCCATCACCATTTTTGGACAATTAAGTGAAAATTGCTTATTTTCGATGGTTCCTGTAACAATCTTCGGATATTGAAGCCTCTATCCTCTGCAGTTCTTACTCGATTCCTCTTTTCCCTGTTTTGCTGGAAATTAAGGTTGGAACAAGGATGTCAAAGCATTCACTTGCTTTTTGTCAGGGTTGAGAAATGTTTTTAATTTTGTGCGCATTATGAATTTTCAGAAACAAAAGTTCAAGAAAAGAAAAACTTTTGAAAGATACAACGACTACCCTCCAGCTGGTATTTGGTAAATGTACCATTTTTTTGGTAATCTTATCTGAAAACATCAAGTGGCTAAAGCATATAGTGATAGACGAGAAGCAAGCAAGTGCGCACGGGGTCAATAGCTAGTATGGTGGAATAAAATGAATTACTACCAGAAGGATTGATAAAATCTTAAAGGCTTGTAAACAACAACAAAAAAACCTAGTATAGGTTTGATCCCATAAATGGGGTTTAGGGAGGGTAGTGTGTACGCAGACCTTAACCCTATCTCATAGGGATAGAGAGGCTGTTTCCGATAGATCCTCGGCTCAAGGAACAGCGGAGATAAAACAACCAAGTTACATAAGTTTGTCAAAAGATTGGACTAAAGAACTTCAAATTTGCTGAAACTGTACGGAGAATGAAAATATTCCTCAATTCGAGGCAAGGCTAAACTTATTTACATTGAAGACCGCTTAAACTTGCTCAACTTTTTCGCTCAGACGCTTATACTAAGGCTTGTTCCTATTGACACTTAATATCTACCAAAAATGTGCCTATGAGACTCTTCCTTAACGCCCTTCATCTTCTTCAAGATAAGCTACGATTTGAAAAGATAACTGGAATTACTACAAAATTCAATCTTGAATAATTTGAGGTCCACTAAGGCACAACACTTCCAGGTCCAATATAGAAGTCAAATTAAGAAAAGAAATAAAGGGTGAGGGGAGGGGGATAAAGAGAAATTATGAGCAAGCAACTCTGCTGTCATTCCCATTGAATAGCAAATGCTCACACGTTATTTTTAACACAATAAAACATGTCTGGGCATGTCAACGCATGCTTCTAACTACACCATTACTCATCTCCATAGAGTTCAATCACTGTCAACAAGTCAGTTTGAAAATGGTTGGATCATTCCATCTTTCATTTCCTAAGTTTACCGCTCATAAATATTAACTGGAAACCAAAGGGTTTGATTGAACTATCCATATTTACTTTGGTAGGAAGTGAAGATCTCCACGAGAGAAGTGTAGACTCACTTCCTCAAACAGTCATCAACCAAGTCTTTTCGTTTCACTTTTTACATAGAGAGAAAGAAGCGAGAAAGAGAGAGGGATGATGATGATTCGGCTGAATAAATGTTACGTCATTTTTTCTGGTCCTTCAGGACAAGGCCCACTCGAAATATTGGCAACAGGCACCTCTAGCAGCAGTCCAATTCCCACACCCGAAGAATAGGCTTCCTTGCTTTGGACCTGGTTTCCGGAACATCCCTTTGCTGCTCCTTACTCCACAGAAACAGTAAGGCTGATGATTTTGCAATCCTGGAGGCATGTCCCTCGTCTTTTGAGGTTGATAAGAGGGAAACGATGGGTGATCTGGGGGTAGCTTCCATGTAGAGGGTTCATCACCAGATTGATACATCAGAGAATCGGTGATAGAGAATCTAAAACCCCTGTGCATGAGCAAAGCAAGCAAGCGGGCTGTATTTTTGGCATCATCAAGACCACAGTGTGCACGGCCCTGCCATGCTAGGCCAGCCATTTGGACCGCCTCTTTCAAATTGCACCGTGCACCTCCGAAAACCTCTTTGAAAGGAACCTTCAAGTTGATCCATCTGGAATACGTTTTTTATGTTAACCCAAAGAAAAGTGCTCCACTTTAGAACACAGATAAAAATAAGAATATAAACCTACCGGTTGAAATACGGAGGCTTCCTGATCTTCTTGTATCGGCATTCTGATTCCAACATCACACGGCAATCCCAACTGGACCATGTGACAACAGCAAAGTTGGTATTCTTTATCCCTTTCTTCTCAAGCCACTTGTCATGCCTAAGGAGAGCTTCACTTAAAGTAACTCCTCTGTCAACCTGTCAGAGAAAAAAAATTCAACCTTGCATGACTCAGCTGTTACAACATTAAACCCACAGAAAGTAGCAATAGACTGGCCAATATTCACAAAACAGGTCAAACCTACTCAAGAAAGGAGGTGCAGCACAATAAGTTTCAATAGAAAAGATACTCCAAACTCCAAGCCTGTCCTTAAAAACTGCATTATTCTTTAACCAATTCAAGTGAATGCTTTAAGCAAAGAAAGGCACAGATGAAGAAAAATATGATATATATATATATATATACACACACACACGAATATAGGAAGTTTAAAACATACTGTAATTAAGTAAATTATATGAAGTGAAAACCATCAATGGAGTTAAAACACCGTGCGTATCAAGTTTCTGATGCAGATGCAAAAATGCAGTTCAAAATTTCTTTTTCAAATTCAGTAACTAGTTTTTTTTAACCAAGGAGATTTAGTAACAAGTTTTCTTATATTAATTTCTTATTCCTGTTTCTAATATTAATATATTGCAGAATGTTTTCTTACCAATCAATGATTTTGCCAGATATTTATTGTTTAGTGCCGTCAACTTCAGGACAAATCCATGAGCACCATTGTTCAAACCTCAGTAAGACATTCCTTTTAGAAAACTCAATTCTATGACAGACCAGGGTTCTCACACGACTTCCTTTGAAAAAATTCTATTAATGAAAATAAGGATCATACCTGCTTGAGAGTGAAATGTGTCCAAAAACTAGATCGAAATACTTAAGTCAGAATGGAACAAAACATGCCTAGCAATGGACGAAACTTAATCACCTTAAATTCAAGAAAGACTAGTGTTCTCTTAGGAGTTTGGACGTATCCACCCCATCTTACGAACTCATTTTTTTAGATCTAGTTAGATTAATCTCTTCAATGGTGGTCAGTAAAATTGGTAATCACAAGCACATAGGTAGCAAAGGTTGTATTAACAAACAAATCCTTCTATATGTCTAAAACCATGAATAAGATACTACACATCACAGGGAGGTGAAGTTGATATCATAAATTTAAAAGTTCAATCATTTGCACCACATAACCGAAACAATATACCAAAATCTGTCATTCACTTCTCAACTATCTAATAGCCATATGGAGGATACATCTCAAACCACATGTTGGCCAATTCAAATTTCCGACATAACAAATGATAGCATTCTAATACAACTACTCCATTTCATGATTGCTCATCTAACCTTGCAAGCTGCAACACACACTCCCGCACAGGAGAGAAAGTACCTCCACAAGCTCTGTAAAAAATCTTAATTTTCTTTGTTGTTGCTCAAGTTATTTATAACTTTTTTATACTAATAAAGCTAAAAAGCAATCAATGAGCAAATGAATAACATAACTACTAGCAGAGAGTTTCCAACTTCAACCCATAAAATTAAGTCAATCTTCATAACATGGAAGGAAGTAAGCTACATGTTTAAAAATATGCTTATCCAAGGTTCTTCCATTATTTAGTTAAAACCCTCATCCATCTCACAGACGAAATCCTATAATAGGTAGCAAATCAAAACTTGCAACCAACCTGAATTTGCTGGATACCAGTCAGATCTTTGCAGAAATCACTCAATAGTTGATTGCACGTTGGCCTCACATAAGTTTGAAAACAAGCTTCCAGCTGCCCAGTAGTGCTACTCACTATTACTGATGGAAACTCTATTATCTCCTGAGGGTGAGGATTCTTTTCCTTATCACATGTTGCCTCAAAGTCAATAACAACAAAATACTGAAAATCTTGGAACCGATAATCATACTGATAATTTTGAGGGAACATGTTTAATAGGCTATAATGGTAGTGGTTATCCACTGGATATGGAAAGATCTGGCTTTCAATAGCATTCACGGAGCGCAGATGCATATTTGAGTTAGGATAAAAGGCTGACCATAAACCAAAGCCGTGCTGATAAACAGTGTGGTTTGGCGATTCTTTTGAAGAGTCAATAGATTCACCACTCAATGTGCCGTCCAAGCTATCCCCACCTGGATGAATATAGGCGCCATCACTAGGCTCTGGTAAGACTTTGACAGCGGTCCTACTGTAATGCAGATTATGGGGATAGCCTGCATTCTGGAGGCATCTTACGGATGCCTCACAGTTCGTATGCATAGTATCTGCAGTCCAAGGATAAATAACAAATACATCACATAGGTACTAATGAAAGTGTTTCACAAACATGAATAAATTAAGATTCCAAACTACATAATTGCCACAAAATCAAACAAACCCAAACAACAACAACAACAACATACCCAGTAAAATCCCGCCAGTGGGATCTGGGGAGAGTAGAGCGTACGCAGATCTTACCCCTACCCCGAAAAGGATAGAGAGGCTGTTTCCAAAATCAAACAAACCCAAAAGAAGATTTTTAAATAAACACAACATACTGACTTATAACAAAGGACTAAAAACTTAAATCTCATTGCAGCTTGTCCGTTATTTATCGTATGGTCCTTAGATAAACAAAAGAGTGCAGAACAATCAGATGACTAAGAGGGCGTGCCAAAGTTCCAGTTAGATGTTAATGCAGATCTGCAGCTTTTCTCCTTAAGGTAGCAGCCCTAACTACTATAAAAGGCAATCAAACTACCTCTCAAATGAACTAGTTACTAGTCTATAACTTAAGTATATGAGAACCATGCGAATTCTTTGATGCTTATTTTGAACAGACTTCATGGACTAGAATGGCAAAGCTCCT